CATGTTTAGGCCGCACCCGTAGAAAACGGCCGCACTCCTAATTTGGAAGCTCGAATTTTGAAAAAAAAAAATGTCTGAAGTTTCAATGAAGCCCAAACAAGGACAAACAAGTACGGTTTCAAAACACGCAGCGGTAGTTGCGAGCTTTTATATGAATTAAGTCTCTGGATAGCGAAATTTCACCTGTCATACATTCTTTCTCTTTTCAGTTCACTACATCAAACTTAAGGTGCTCTCTGGATGCGATTATCACTTTGAATTGCTCCATGAAGTTGAATTTCGTAGGTGATTGAAACGATACGAGCGTGTGCTTAGTTGCCAAGCTTTGAAATGTAGAGAGGAGTCTTACATGTCAGTACTTGGTTAGCTTGCACAACGGGCGTAATCAGTTTTTCTGCATATTTTAGGCGAACAGAGGCGAAAGCGAGGCGAGCGCGAGGCGCGAGTCGCACGTGAGGGGAGGAGCACAAAAAATATACTGCCTTTACGCATACTGTTGTGCAAGTTGTTCCGGCGCTCAAATATGAACGCGGCTACCCAATTCGTTACTTGAAGACACGTGATCCTCGAATGTGCTTCAAATACAACATGGCGGTCGCCTCATCTTGTACTGCGAAAGCGAAGAGAGCGCGAGGCGCGAGTCGCGCGCGTGGGGAAGAGCGCGAAAAAAAATAACGCCTGTATGCATACTATTGCTTTAAGTTGTTCCGCCCCCAGACACACCCTTGAATGACCAGCCAATCGCAGCATTAAAAAAACAGTGGCGCTCGAAAAGTGCAGGTAATCATGGTGAGTTGTGGGCCAAATCTATAGACTTCCAAGGTCTTAGAACCTTTCTGGTGAAGAATGTGCGCTTTAAGGTGAGTTTTGATAATAATGCAGCGAAGCACGTCTACAAAACTTTGAACTTTTTTTGCTGTCAGATAGTTTTTAGGCCTCATCTTGAATAAAAAATTTATTGTTATTGAACTTCCTGTCGCGTTTCTTTCCTTTGGTTGCCTTTATTTGGGAATTTTAGGTTTTAAAAGTGAACAGTAACTTGCACGCTGGACTTGTGCATATTTAATAGATCTACTACTATATATTAAAATTCAGCCTAACACTATAGACCTCACGAGGCTCTGGGGAATAAACCACACAAACTCTGTTATTCCCTGGGGCCTCGTATATAAATCCATTGTTTTAGGTTGAATGTTAATATGGCAAAATTGGTCTATTTACGGCGACCTCCACGGTTTGTTTGTTTGGTTTATTCGCTTCGTTCAAATATAGTTTTTGGAGTATTATTCAGCTACTACAGAACTCCTGAGAAAAGAACAAAGTGGGCAGTGGGGCACTAATTTAACACAGTTGAAATACGATTTACCTTTGTCTTCCTTTCATCCTTCATTCGCTGCGCTGTATTATTTCGCCGCGCGGCGAAGAAATTATCGGATTTCTTGTTTTTAAATTGGTTTTTACATGTGTCTGTCGCTTTTATTTTCCAATGTTTTCTCAAATGTTATCTGTTGTACTAAAAGAATGGAAATTCTCTTTTATTCGGTTTTGTTTTGTCCTCCGAAGTCAATAATTAACTCATTTTGCACATTAAATTTTCTCGGCTTTTGTCGCGAGGCAAAGAAAAAAGTTTATTCCTTGTTTTCTTCTCAGTTTTACACATTAAGTTGAGTTCTTATTGTTGTTTTTTTTAACACTTTGGGCCTTCATTTATTCAACTTTAAATGAACGGTCTTGAAACCTGATCTTGAGTCCGCGGTTACTGCGCATATGGTTTATTTTCGTTTCCTCTCGCTCGGAAATATTACCAAAAAAAGACAGGGAATTAAGGGTGGGTCGCAGGCAATTTCCCCCGAGGGGGGGGGGGGGCACTGCCATATATGGGCTATATAGGTATGTGCCGCCGTGAAGGGTATGGTTTTCAAGCAGTTTACTCTAGGATAGGGTATATAAATCAGAGCGTTTGGGTCTAGAATAAGGTATAATTTTTTACAAAACTGACTAACTGGTTGAAGATTTTATCTAGACTAAGGAAACCAGGAATTGCCACTCAAAAATATGAAAAAAATCAATCGGCAAGTTTGAATTTATGCAAGTCAGCCTCAACAGTGTCGATAGATAGGAGGATTTGGGGAGTTTACTCTAGTATAGGGTAGCAAAATTCAGCTAAACTAGCTCTGGTATAGGCTAACGGTTCCAGGGTCCCAGCGGCACATCCCCACCCAAAAATTCCCAAAGTACCCCTCCCCCCGGGGTAATTTCATGAAGGTGTCAATGGGTTAAAGGGGAGGGAGGAAGGAGGCACGTTCGGAAATAAACGAAGGGCTTCCCGAATAGCTTCATCCACAGAACAAGATAATACGAACGCCATGTTCTATTTGAAAAACATTCGAGGATCACGTGTCGTCAAGTAACGAATTGGGTTGGACTACGAGTAGTCGCTCTTTCGCTTAGTCCGNCTGACGCCTAGACTACGAGTAGTCCCTCTTTCGCTTAGTCCGTTGTGCGTGACGCGAAAGAAAACCGCGAGAAAAAAATTGCCGCGCGAAATCCTGGAAGCGAGTAGCGCGCGAAACGAGGGACTACCGCCTAAGCCCAAGAGTTTGACCTTTCACGGCCAAGTGATTTTTCAGTGTAGGATTTCTCATCTTGACGTCCTCCTTTCGCGCGCTCCTCGCCCCCAGGATTTCGCGCGGCCATTTTTTTCTCCCATTTTTTTTTTCGCGTCACGCACGATGGACTAAGCGAAAGAGGTACTACTCGTAGTCTAGAATTGGGTAGCCGCGTTCATATTTGAACGCCGGAACAACTGGCACAACAGTATGCGTAAAGGCGTTACCTTTTTGGCGCTCTTCCCCTCGCGTGCAACTCGCACTTCGCGCTCGCTTCGCTTTCGTCTCTGTCGCCTGAAATAAGCAAAAAAATTACGCCTGTTCTGCAGGCTATACTTGTTTATGCTAAATAACACAAAAAATTGCGAAAACAATAGAGATTACAAAATATGCCAATTGTATTTTCTTGGATCTAATTACTTTAAAAATTGCTTTTGAAGTGGTTCATTGGCAACAGAACTACGAGCTATATTATTTTAAAGGGTACAATCATATAAATGTCAACAGAAATAAAACACTTACATGGTATTCAGTGCTTAGTATGGTGTATCTTCCACGTGCTGTGCACAACTCCTCGGCTTCGGATTTTGTCATCTCAACACCATACAGATACAAGAATACCAGCTCAGGAACACTGCTGAGATGTTGAATCAGGACACTGACTCCTCGGCCAAGTGGATTCAATGATAGGTCAAGAGTATCCAGGTCTGGTACATCCTTCAGTGCACGGGCCAGCGCCGATACTTCCTCTTCGCCCATCTGTGTACCAAACAACCACAGCTTCCTCAAATCAGGAACAAAGTTCAAGTGTTTAGCCAGCTCCATAATCCCATAATCCAGCGGATTCCATGATAAATCAAGACTCTCTAGCAGTGTAATGCTTGGTAAACATCGGAATACAGCTGTAGCTTCCTCTGCACCCATCTCTGTATTTCGTAGGTTCAGCTTTGTCAGAAAAGGGACACAGTCTATGTGGTTAGCCAGTTCAATGATCCCGTGACCCAGTTCGTTGCCTGATATATCCAGTTCTTCTAACCCATTTATAGAAGCCAATGAAGCTCCAAGTACCGCGGCCTCTTCCTCTCCCATATTGACATTGCTCAACCTTAAGACGGTCACGTTATCAAGGTTCTCAACCAAACCCCTCACACTACTGTACAACGGGTTCCTGGACAAGTCAAGCTCGTCCAACTCACCAGCCTGGTGCAGTGAACTGGCGATCTCATTAGCACATGTTGCTGTCAAATTGACGTCATTAAGTTTTAAGCTGTGGAGATTGTCAGAAAAGTGAATGTTGGAAACCATACTCTCTATCAGCCCAGCGTCGTATGACGTAGAGATGTTGCCGTCGACTTCGATCTTGTGAGGATGTGTTATGAAAGGTAACACGTTTTTCACAACCGTGAGTTCCTCACTTGTTGGGTGGTAAATTTTAATCTCTCTGACGAATGAGAGGCAATGGTGGCCAGTCTGGTCCAGTATGTTTTCAGTCAAAACCAAAGCACCGCTGTTGTCTTGATTCATTGACAAGTCATCAACAGGCTTCTGAGAAGGAGACACTGATGTTGATGTGAGTTCAGTTAGCAGTTCAGTAGGCAAACGGTGCGCGTAGTCCTTGCAAATGCGAGTAAGACAGAGCAACATTTGCTGTCCTTCTTTCTTAAGGAAAAAGCTATCTACTCTTAGATTGGCGTCCTTTTTTACACTCCTGACTTGCCCCGAACACATCACAAGGAAAGTGTTTAAATCAAGAAGTACAGAGAAAACTTCATCATCATCCATTTCTTTAGTACTGAATCCTTGGGCAAAAAAAAGATAGTTTGGACAACTACTGGTGGATTGCAGTAAGTGTTCTCTGGCAGCAATAGAAAACTGTTCACCATTTAGTATTAGAACATAATTAACACACTTAAGAAACAAAGGGAACACAGCTTGTCTGTCTGACGCTGCACAGGAAAACAAACAATGCCAACTGATAGACATAAACCTTTCTTGATAATATGACAAATCCTCAACAGAAGGCGTCGCGGTGAAGTTGTACGCTGTAAGACCTTCTTTGTCTCCTATCATCTGCATATGACTGAGAACAGCGCGGGCAGCGTCTGATGACAACTCACAGGCGAATTTCAGAACTTCAAACATCATCTTTATTTTTTGAAAAGAATCGACTTTTGAAAGGCAGGTGACACTTTCATTTTTCTTGTTCATCAGTTCTTGCACGATGAACCTGGCAGCAACGAACTCCTGAACGGACTTATGGAGGAAATACACGATTTTCTCAGGAATTGAACTTGAAAGTTTTGAAGTTTGCAAAAAACCAGTGTCAATAAATTTCTTGAAGATATCGTTATCAGGCAGTTTGCTTAAACTGAAATGAAGACAGTTCTCCAAAAGAGCGTAAAAAGCAAGTTCTCCTAATCTCGATAATTCTTCTTTGTATTCATTTATGCTTTGAAACTTCTCTTCTGAATCTTTTGAATTCAGGTGATTCAAGAGGGTCTGCATGAATCTTGAGTAAAGGTCCGCTCCAGATGTGGGTAGTCCTTTACGATCTTTCTCCCTCCAAACTAGACACAACATTAATAGGAGAAGTGGTATCTTCGCCATGTCCCAAAGGTGTTTTTCCTGCAGATATTCAACAAGCTCTTCTACGTCTTTCTGATCACCGAGGAACTTGCTTGCAAACTCTTTGACTTGCTTCACACTATCGAACCCGTTGAGCTCGAGTTGAACATGACTCTCCTTGCTTAGCTCCTCTTCGTTTACTCGCCGTGTTGTGATAACAACACAACAACCTCTCAGNAATTTGACCAGGGTACAAAATCTCTAATTAGCACATAATCATGACAGTGACAATAGACAATGCACAGATACAAACAGTGTCCGTAAAGCGGGGTTGACGCTCGGGACACAGAAAAGTGTCCGTTGTCCGTATTAACGGGTGTCCGTAATAAGCGGGTTAATTTTAGAAAAAATATGAGCTTTTCGTCGGGGAAAACGAAACTGTCCGTAATATCGGGTTGTCCGTATTAAGCGGGTGTCCGTAGAGCGGGTTTCCACTGTATTTGCAGAAAATTGTGAGACTGTTGATTTGCAGCACAAAACTTGAAGATAACTGGATAAATCCTTGTTGCACATTTGAATTTAATACACTGTCCACATAATTGCTATAGAGGAGAAAGGAGGAAAGGAAATATACATGAAAATCCGTAGGGTAAGTTATGGACCGAGTTTTCTCCATTTCAATTTCTGGCCCAAGCACGAAGTGCGAGGGCCATAAATAAAAGGGGAAAAAACGAGGTTTCGTAACATACAGTACTCGCTGCGAAGACGATGTTGGTAACACATTTATTTTATCTCTAAGTGTGTTTGATGGCTTCGGAGACAGCTCTAAATTATAGGAAGCCGTACAGTAGATTACACTAAACTGGGAAATCACAGAGTGCGTGGCAACAAAGCGTTACAAAAAAGTATAATAACAGAAATTAGCCCTCGTAGCTGGCGTTCTGCATAATTATTTTACAAAAGTTTGAGAGTTTCCATGCCTACGCGTGTGTGATAATACGTTTCTGGGCCGCTTAAGTTGTTATCCTTGTTACAACAATCCAGGGGGAAACACGCTTGCAGCGACGGAGTTTGTCAGACTCCTAGAGGACTCGGGATCTGTTACAGCAAAACAATCCAACGGGACGACAGAGAATACGCAGTTACTTGAGTCCAATAGTAGAGGTTAATCCACTAACGTACTCCGAACTAACCTAACCAATACGGGATAGTGATATCCGGCGTCCCACCACCGGGGACGTAACCCAAGAACAATTTACAAAACACCTGTATTTATGCTAGACTCTAAACAAGTGATCTAATGTTTCGTTCAGTAATCCTAAACCCCTATTGGCTGCCAATGAGCTCATTGTTGTTCTAGGCTATTCCATCATAGGCAGTCAGTTATTCTGCTCGTAAATATTAACTACTTACAACTTCAGGTAGTTCTGACTACAAGGTGTTACCCGATAATAGAGATAGACAGGTGGTTACCATGGTTATTGGACTTTCACTTGACTGCTAACTGTTGGCTTTTTTATGGTTATGAATATCGGCAAATTCTCCCCTCACAAGTGAAAGTTAATATACTTTTTTTAATCTAAAATCCAGACAAAGTACCAGTTCAGTAGATTTCTTGTATCTTGAATTCTGCGCTACAATATCTTGTACTAAGACTAGTTCACCCGAATTTTCCTGGCAATGTTACAAACTTCTTTCTTTTTTTTTGGGGGGGGGGNAATGTTATATAATAAAACCTCAGTTTTTTTTTGTTTTTTTTTTTGAAGCTATCCACAGCTTCAATAAATATAACGAGAAGACAACGATTTTGAACGCCTGCATATAAAAAGGACAAAATTGATGAAAATATCATTTATATTTATATGTTTTCACAAGTATTGGATTGTGTCAATTGCGCTTCCCTTTAATTGTAGATTACCTGATTTACCTCAACCATTTGATGAGTAGATTAATGGAGAAGTGCATCTTAATTAATGGTCAACGGTTTTGGTTTGGGGCTAATCAACTTCGGATAAGGGGCTTATTGGCTGAGGTTACAAATAGGGACGGTGGGGATGGTGGTCATTTGTCAATCAGATTCATAAGTTTTGACTTTTCACCACTGAGGACTCACTATCAGACAAGTTGTCATGAGCTGTAGGAGATAGTCTTTGTGTCCAGTCATGCAGGTCACATGCTGGTCCTTTCTTATACAATACTGAGCCAGAGGAAAGGAATAACAAAAAACATTTGCAGTGTATGACTGGCGTATTTCAACAAATTAGATCAAATGGACATTTGTTAATGATGTAGTCTTCACTAGTCAAGCACATATTTCATTTTGTCCTAAGTAATAAAAATACCTTCAAATTTGGGGCGCTTGGGTAGACTTGGCCCTTTTCCCGACACATCTGCAAAAAGAAGGAAACAGGTTGTACGTTTATTAACACCACAGCAGTCTGAGAGGTATTTGGTCAAATTTCTTTAAAAGAAATGTCTAAAAAAACAGTTTCATAACTTGCATTTCATTATTTCATTTCGTTTCATTATTTTATTACTTATTCGCTTTCCATTTTTAAGACCTCTCTTAGTTTTCATTTTAGCCTTTTCATTCAATTTTTAAACTCCTTGTACATAACTTTGAGGTAATTAAATTTTAATTTTTAATTTTTTATCATGTAGTCTTAATTTTACGCCGGGCCCCTTTTGATACCAGCCTATGGCTCATGGGGCTACCCTGCCTAAATAAAGATGACTTGACTTAACTTGCAGAAACATTCTGCACCTGTTGATTTGCAGCACAAAAATGAATACAACTGGATAAATCCTTGTTGTACATTTCAATTTAATACACTGTCCATATAATTGCTATATATAGAGCAGAAAGGAGGAAAAGAAACATAGACGTAAAATCAAAGCTGTCACTGTGGTCGGGAACCAAGGATTTCTCCCCGCTACTAGGAGTGTTAAACACAGCTACTCTGATAGAATTTAACTAAACATTAAAGACCTCAAAAAAACTAGTACAATAGAGATACACTAATGAAAAACAGGATTTCTTATTCTGAAATTTTAAATATCGCTTTCTCAACAACATATCACAGAACCCATTATGGCTTCTACAGTGCATAACAATGCTATTTAAACTGCCCTACATTTTCTAAAATTTACAGGGAGTTGCTCCCAAAACCCCTAGAAGAAAATTATTCAAGTTACCTTTAAGGCCCCTCCATAGTTAAATCCATAACATATGGACATGATTTCATAGCAGTCAGAAAACATCGCTTTGTGTCATACATAAGTGAAAATTATTCTGCCAAATGTACCAAGTTTGAAACAATGTCTTGTAGATCGTGACGAGACCCTATCTCCTGCTATTTTTTTATTTTTTTATTTTTTTTTCATTTCCACGCCTACTTCAAAATTAGTGACAGCCCTGATTTTACCGTAAGTAGTCTCCTAACAAAATGCATCATGTGGTTTCCCTACAACAAAATTCTTTGGCCACGTTGTCGAGTCCAACTCTGTCAGAACACAACGCGTGGTAGAGGTCTCGATAAAGTGCATTCGAAGATGTTGTATCTTTCCAGCGAAGTAACATCTCATATGGTCTATCTTTTCCATTGGTCTCTATTCCGCTCAGTACATCCTGAGAAATGCCAAGTTGAAGTCCCAGATTATTCCACTTGGTACCAATCTTTCCTGCGAGCTCATTTAGGTCACGGTCACTAGGTTTGCCTTCTTTAAAAGCAACTATATATGTGAAAGAGAAGAAGTTTCCAGTTAACCAATACATATCAAAGTGGTAATAACATTAGTAAGAATGACACATGATGAGTGACCTACAGTAGGTTATGCATACACTGGTATAGATTTCAAGATTTCCTGGTACAACAAATACAGATCGTCATGAATAATCAGCATTTGGCCTTTTACAGGTACTTATAAATAAAAGTAATCGACCTACATCTGTATTCAGTTGACAGCTGCCTTGCACTGGTTTCAAAATTGCAATCTAATGGCTCTACAAAATAGCGTATTAATGGGTCTTGGATTGGGTTTCTATGTTATGTTATATCAAAAGTTCCCCCACCCTTTGATAAAAATAGGTCTTGAAAAGTGTAATTCTTACTCCTATGATATTTCCATTTTTTCACCATGTGTTTCATGAATGCCTCTCGCTCGACAGATCATGTCATGTTATTGCTTCTTCATACCTACCTAATTAGCCTACATACACCTAATTAGCCTAGATATATTAGCTCTCCACTTGTTTTCATCTAACTACATGACTCTGAAATAGAACCAAAATATTGCAACAATCTTTTCCCACTACAATAAACCAAAACTTAGTTTTCAACAATGTTAACAATCCTCGGACTTCTCTTGTTTATGTTACTAGCTCGATATATAAATGACGTATGACCTACAAATTAAAAACTCAGTAAAGTGGCATCAAAACTGCCCTGGTTTACAGAGGATCCGTTTTTCAAGTTGAGTGACTCATAACCACTTTGTTTATTGCACTTTTGTAATACTGTAGTGTGTGCATAACATGATTATCAAGTTTCTATTTCAATTAAAAGAACATCAGAATTGCTAAATACCTTCCACTTTGAAGCGTTTGGGATCTTCGCCACTTGTACTTAGTACCACTCTCTCTGATTGCTGCGATGAACTCTGCTTTTCTGCTGATGCATCCAGCAAGAAAGAAAGAAATTTAATGTTAGAGCAGTCTTAGAGGTTAATCCTTTGAAAGAAGTTAATGCACATACATTTTTAATAAAACGAGTTGGGTTCATATTTATCTACACTGGGAAACTGATGTTAATATCCTATATTATTAAAACCTAGGTCACTGGCTAATGCAATTCAAGAGTTTCCACTGACTTAGCATTCATGCCATATAATGAGCTATTATACCGTACTCATGAAATATGGGACGCGTACGTAAAATCTTTTAAGGCGTTTTTTTGTTTGTTTTGTTTTTTATTATTATTATTATTTTATCTTAGTTTTCTATATTTTGGGGGCGCTTCAAATAAAACAATTATTCCACTCACGCTCATTGAATATGAGATGAGTATAGCCAACTCATATCCAACAAGTGCGAGTGGAATGATTGTTCCATATCGTATCTTTTCAAAACGCTTCGGCAACATATCAGGTGAGTTTGGTTGAGCCATGGTTCATACTTGGTGAGATGTGCTCGAGCTAAAATACTCATGGAGAGATCAAACAAGCCTGATATGCCACCGAAGCATACCACAAAGGTAAGATTAGATATTTACCGTAACCAAATTAGACCAAACTTCCGGAGATATATCTCTAGTTAGTGTGATCCGTCAGGCGTTCCTGTAATGTGGCGCGCACGAGTTTCAAATTTGGCAAGAAAGTTAGGACACCCTTAGCCCCGAAAACAATTTATTCAGTGCTCAATATTCTATTTTTTTTTTTTTTAATTTTACTCACGCAAAATTACTTTACTTGAAAGTGACCATGATATCAAAGCCACATCATGTAAATTAAAGAGAAGAAGAGTTATGTTTTGGTGGAAAAAACAAGACATTGTAANAAGAGGCACAACAAATACATTGGTACACATAAATATCATAAACTTGGTACAAGAGTAAATATACAAAACAAAACAAAATAAATAGATATAAACCATCAAGGTAGTGACATAAGCGAAAAATCAGGTGTGGAAAATCCTTTTGGAATGTTCCCATGGTAACTGCTGACGACGAAATAACAGCTGTTTTAGGTCAAGTATAAATTACGTAATCCAAACCTACAAAAATATTACAGTGGCCCTGGTCTGTCTCTTTGTTCTATTCTTACAAAGTTATGAGCCGTCAAAAACCTGAAAACTGGTACGAGCCACCTTAAAGAACTGACCAGATTTGTTAAATACCTTCCACTATGAAGCGTTTGGGATCTTGGCCACTTGTACTTGGTACCACTCTCTCTGATTGCTGCGATGAACTCTGCTTTTCTGCTGATGCATCCAGCAAGAAAGAAAGAAATTTAATGTTAGAGTAGTCTTAGAGGTTAATCCTTTGAAATAAATGAATGCCCATACATTTCCAATAACACGAGTTAGGTTCATATTTATCAAGACTTGGAACCTGATCTTAATATCCTACATCATTAGAAACTGGATCACTGGCTAATACAATTCAAGAGTTTTCATTGACTTAGCAATCATGCTATATAATGAGCCATTATACCATACTCTACAAATATGGGAGCGTACGCGCAATCTTTTAAGGCGTTTTTTTATTTTTTATTTTTTTTTCATCTTATCTTAGTTTTCTATATTTTGGGGGCGTTTTAAATACAACAATCATTCCACTCACGCTCATTGAATATGAGATGATTATAGCCAAATCATATCCAACAAACGCAAGTGGAATGATTGTTCCATATCGTATCTTTTCAAAAGGCTTCAAACAGATCAGGTGAGTATGGTTGAGCCATGGTTCATACTTGGCGAGATGTGCTCGAGCCAAACCACTCATGGTGAGATCACTCAAGTTCGATATGCCACCGAAGCGTACCACAAAGGTGTGATTAGACATTTACCATAACCAAATTCGACCAAACTTCCGGAGATATATTTCTAGCTACTGTGATCTGTCAGGCGTTCCTGTAATGTGGTGCGCACGAGTTTAAAATTTGGCAGGAAAGTTAGGACACCCTTAGCCCCGAAAACAATTCATTGAGTGCTCAATATTCTACTTTTTTTAAAATTTTACTCACGCAAAATTACTTTACTTGAAAGTGACCATGATATCAAAGCCATATCATGTAAATTAAAGAGAGGAAGAGTTATGTTTTGATGGAAAAAACAAGGAATTGTAAAACTGTCGGGTAATGGATTTTCTGGTAGGGAAAAATTTAGAGGATGCTGGAGGAAGAAGCATTTTGTTATTGCAGTGGGTGATGGGTATATGGGCATTAGCTCACACAGTGACAGCATCAAAGAAGTTTGACCTCTTGTCTGCTTCTGCACTGGTCCATCAGTGGGTATGCGAGAAACAAGTAGTCTTGTTGAATTGTTCTCAAAAAACTGACTTCAACTGCTTTTAAATGACTTCACACCTCTTACATTTGCACTTTTAGTCTCTAGTCTGCTGTGAATGATCTTATAAACCTCAAGACTACAAAACAAAGGGAAATGAAATGGCCTGTTGTTGAAATCTCTGAGAAATTATCACATGTACATTTTCTCTTGCGTACGTATTTTGCATTAGTTCTGTACCTCTAAAATGTACAAGCACAATTTCATGTGATCATTGTTACTTGTACCTTTGTAATGGGGCCATTCCTGGAAAACAACGGGATTATTCAAAATTTTTGCAACTACCGAAGCAGCCATCACGCTAGCAAAAGGACTCCAATTCTCTGACACGCTCTCAGTACCATCAGCATAATCAGCAATTCCTTTCACTACTAGCCATTCGATCTGAAGATCAAATGCCGCTGTGAAAATACCTGAAACAGAAAACCGTACAGTCTGTATTAGAGCTTTAATGATGAGGACAGAACACTGTAGCAAGAGTAATGTTATCTCATCCAAATGATTATGTATGCAGTATATTACAGTAATAGACGAGGAGAGCAAGCATTGTAAAATACAGACTGACATAAGGGCCAACAATAGTCAGGTCGAAAGACTTCTTCTTTACCACATGCAGTCCACAACAGCAGTAGAGCTAACACTCGGAAGGCAATTTCTGTTTATTTCCAGCACTAAAATCACTTCCGAGTTAATTCTAATGAGTCACAACTTTCCTATGACAAAACGAAGATGAGGGGAGAGAACTCACAACCTACATGTGCATGTAATTAATGCAATGTGATTAGTTACAAACCAAGGTCGTAGCTAGTAAAAGGTAAACCAAGGCCTCAGTCATTTTTTATTTGTTTTTTTGTTTGTTTAAAAATAAGTGTAAATATATTAGGTCTGCGGTCTTCACTTATATCCAGGATTGAACGCTAAAGAGATTCATGCTCCCTATGATAAGCATCATTAACAAGTGTCATTTTCATTTGACTTCATATTTGACATTTTTTTGTGTGTTTTGGTGACTTTTTTACAAATGAGGACACTGTGATGCTTGTCATAAGGAGCATGAATCTCATTAGCGTTCAATCCTGGACATATCTGGTAGTCTTAGCACTCGCGCATGCGTCGCTTAGGAAGCATATGGTTCAGTTCTACTTTTTATGATGTGAAGTATACATGAAATAACTCATATTTGAACT